AAAATATCTCGGCGCCAAAATCGAGAAACAATCGTGGTATTCGTGGTACGCGCGTTCCGTCACCATGACCGCTCGATCATTCTCTTCACCCGAACACGACATTTATTTATAATTCAAGAAGAAACTATTTGGCCTGGGCTCTTTCTATCTCTCTCTTCTCTTCCTTCGCGGTAGTCGCATTTACGAACGAACGTTTATTTTCAGCTCGTCGAAGACTAAAGAGGCAGGCACGCTGTAGGCGGCCAAAGCACTCTTTCGAAACGTCTAATCATTTGAACGAAAGAAAAAGAGAGAATGAGAGAGAGAACAAAACGTATAAAACACACACGGAAGGAAGTTATCTTTGAATTTAAACTTCAATTCTTTTCATTTGTAATATCAAACCCATTAGAATATAATAATCACTATTAAAATTAATTAAAACAAAAATTTGCAAATAACAAATAACGAAAAATTGTTGTCATTTGTAATATCAAACTCATTATAATATAAAAATTAACGATTAAAATTTACAAGTCATAAACAAACAAAAATAGAAATATTTCTTTCGAATGATTTTTAATGAATGATATAATTAAAAAGGTCTTTTTTATTGTATTTTGTATCGATTATTAATTATTTCATGCTTCAGATCGCATTTTAAAATTTTGCATACCTAGTCTTATTTTTAGAGTCTTACGAAGCACGTGTTCGATATCTTTGCTCTCTCTCATAAATATTTGTATTTTTAATAAGAGTATCTATGTATGAAAAGATCGGTAGAAAAAAATGTCGAAAAGGGATGGCTAGTGGTCGCGTGAAACGGCAGAAAATTGGCTGATCGTTAAACGCAATCTTTGAACGCATCTTCTCTTCTACGGGAAGCGGGAATGTTACGCGAAGCAAAAGGCGTGACTGCACGCCAAGCAAGGTCGTCGAGGCGTACTTGGAAGGAACGAGGTCGCTGACACCCTTCTTCCGTCTTTTAGCGAAACGGGATTGTTTCGAGGAAGTGTTGAATAGATTTGTAAAGAAAAATACTTGTAGGAAATTAAGTAGCTCTTTATCATCTCGTTTCGTCTCATTCAATTTCCAAGGATTACTTACTTCTTCCTATGATACATCAACGAGCAATAAGTATCAATACGTAATAAATTAGCTTTTAACATATTTCATGGAAATTGATAAAAATTAAGATTCTCTACATAATTTCTTATTTAAATATACAAAAGAAATAATGAAAAATGCATATTAAGCCTATTTACAGATAAAGATTGTCTTCAACTACTAAAAGCTATTTCTTATTATCGTACATTTATACTTGAAAAAGTGTAAATAAAAAATCGTATATTTTTGCATATTAACAGGTAGGATGTTAAACAAATTTATCCGTGTTAATACTTTTGTTTAGCAATAAGTAACAATGTTCGGAACGATTTTTCAATAGAATTCTATGAAATTTGTCTTCTTCGTTTGCTATTTAAAAATACGAAGTAATTCATTTTCATGAAATTGAAGAAGCGTGAAAAAGAACACGCGTCTCCGAGTAAAAAAGTTGCGAACATATGTATATATGCATCTATATACATACTTCAAGTTTATATACACATTTATGTATATATATATATATATATATACTAACATATGTATATATCAGTCACCTCTCTACGATTCGTTACAATTCGTATACGTAAGAGTTTGCACAGATGTCCTCGAACTATTTCGGTCTCTGTTTGAACAATTGCCGAACGAGAAGAAGAGGAAAGATGGCCGCGTATTAAAGCGGGAATGCGTGCGCCACACATGTGGACATCTTCGATCGGCCGCTGCTCTCCTGCAATCTTGTATGTGTATATGTATATATATATGGGTGTATGCGTGTGTGCAATCGTTTATAATAGATATACCTTAGCGAGTTTGCATTTGATCATCAAAATGACATTCGTAACGCACAAGCTTGCCGCGTGCGTAATTACTCACGAGAAAAAGAGAGAGAGAAAAAGAAAGAGAGAAACTGTCCCTCTCGAAAGGAAGCAGTATTACGAACAGCTGATCATTCAGCTGATATCATTCTTTAAAAATAGATTCAGGCAGCATCTTCTAACAGACACTTGCGACACACGCATTCTACGTAATATTTTGCAAACAAATCATTTCCGTCTGATATCTTAATCAGGTCATAAACGTTTCACGATGATTTTTTGTCATTTTTTATTACTCTCGTTTATAATTTTCTAAGAAAGAAAAAACCAACATAAAGATTCTATATAAAAAACATTACAAACATTTATGTACTATACATGTGCTTATTTCATTGATTGATACGTATACACATACATACTAGAATTATTAATATTTAGATCCTCGGAAAGATCATTTCGAAAATTTATTCTCTAGTGAGAAATAGACTTTAATAATACTAAAGACATCGACCAACTAACGTTCTTATTAAAAATATACAAATGGTTCGGAGTTTTTAAAAAAAAATGTACTCATTGTCGATAATTCATAAAAATGACCTATGAAAGGAAACCGAAAATTTACGAAACGACTAATCGTTAATAACGTTCTAGCGATAATCAAGAAAAACAATAGTCGCGATTCTTCGGCAATTAGGGAGACAATTTTACGCACTTTTCATTTTCATACTTTTCATCTTATAAAAATAAATACACAGTTAAAATATGTAATTCCTCCTTTTTACGTACTTTAACAGATCAATATAATTATTTAATTATTTAACTCAGTGGTTCCCAAACATTTTTATCCTAAAAAAGGTCCAACGCACACTTAAAATTCCAGTTTTTACCTGTGATGATCTTGTCATCGCCCCCCTGGACCGCTTCATCGCCCACTAGAGGGCGATATCGCCCACTTTGGGAACCACTGATTTAACTGATAATTACATGAATTAATAAATTTTACGATTTAATAGTAACATATATATTTCTATAAATATATTTTTACTCACCAAAAAAATTGTTAGTTCTTATCAATGCTGTTTATCAATTCTGCCTTTATTCATACTTAAACAAATTAGTATAATTATTTCATCGCTTAACTGATAATTTCATGAATTACCAAATTCATTTATTAATAATAAAATAATATATATATACGTATTTACTCGGAAAAATTATTAGTTCTTATCAATGATCCACGAGAGCTTAGACCAGCAAATCATGAAATGGAATTTGATATCATTCGATATCGGAACCGCGAGTCGCGAAACATTTCTCTCCCTTCTCCCCCTATCTTTCTGTTTCTTTCAGCGCGATCAAGCATGCTATCTCGTTTCTCCGTCGATGTGTTTATAAAAGTACGAAACAGGGAGAAAGAAAGAGAGAGAATTAAAGAGAGATCGATCGTGTGTGCGCGCTTCACTGGCGCCTGTCGCCGACCTCGAAGACCTCTCTCGACTTCGTCGACTCCTACGTCCTCCTATCGTCGTCAAGAGCTCCCGTTTATCTTTTCTCTTCTTTCTTTCTTCCCTTTCTCGTTGTCGCATCAAAAAGAAAGGATAGAAAGAGCAAGAGAAAGTATGAAAGTAAGAAAGAAAGAGAGTACAAACGAAGGGTTCACGATAATCTCGCCAATCAGTTATGAGAATATGCGATTTCGCTGAGAAGTCTAGATGACGACGATACTAAGCGATTTAGTAGAAGCAGATGGCTGATAGGCGAGAATCCAGGTTGGTTATCTGGTGCGATAAAAACTTCGTAACACGCGACCTAACTTCTGTCTATCTCTTTCTCTCTCACTCTCTCTTCCTCTTCCTCTCCCCCTCTCTCCCTCTCTCTTTCTCTCTGTCGTTTCCTCTTTACACCAGCTGGTCGAAGTATTATATCTCTTTAGCAGAGAATCCTCTTCTTAGATTGATATCATGTGTTCGATCGTATGCAGGTGTTACACGTTGTACGTATAGAAATAAGTATGTGATTTCATGAAGCATTTTAACTTCTTCTTCTTCTTGTTCATCCTCTTACTGTTAACGCTGGAATTTGTACAATTCGAATATATTAGTTAGTGTTAATATAGATCGTAGACGAATAATAAGAACTTTCGCAACAATCGTATCTTTTTTGATCCAAAAAAGTTATTTGGTCCTTGCCAACAGGTGATATTTCGAGATTAAGTCGACCCCAAATACGTGTGTTTCTCTAGTTCTCATGTTCTAGTAAATATTTATATCTCGATTTTGAACATTTTTGTATATTACATGTTATGAGTTAAAGAGAAAGAAAAAAATATGAATAGAAGAATCGTAAGGAAATAGAAGTAATACATTTAGATTTTGAAAAACAATTTGAATAAAGGAATGATAAACAGTAAGCAGGCAGGCAAGCAGTCAGACAATCTTTCGATAGGTCGATACACAGTAGCGGTAGATGGTATATAGCAAGAAGGAGCTCTCCGAGGTCAGTGCGGTCGCAAACGAGAAAGACGATCCCGTCGTTCGGCGAGTGTGCAAGCGCGTTGCCTCCCGGAAAGGCAATAAAAGGAAAGCGACGTAGACGAGGTTGGCGCCAGAGCCATGTGGCTGCCGCCACTGTCCTCGGTTCCAAACGAGCGAGTAGCTTCCTTCTTATGAAAGAAAGAAAAAGATAGAACTCGGGCAAAAAAGGGTGCATCCAACGGTAGAGAAAGAGAAAGACACAAACGTGATCTAATCTGTAATCGAGAAACTCGAACGACGTGTCATACAGGTTCGTTGTCACGTTTGATCAGAAACAAATGTAAAAGAAAGAGAAAAGGAAAGAGGGAACGAAAAGAAGAGAAAGAAAACAAGAAAAAAGATAAGAAAGCTTTATTTCCATGGTCTAAGAACGAATGATGATCGTGAAACATGAATACAATCCTTGTTCTAACAGATATATTATGAAGATCGTAACAATAAATAAAAAGAAAATGGATAGAATGATAAGGGGAAGGGAAGGGAAGGAAAGGGAAGAGGGGCAGGAAGAGAACTCGATAAATTATCGTCAGGACGATCGATCGGCCTGACCGGCTCTTCTCCGTTGTCGTTGTAACGTTTAACGACAGGCGTCATTCGTCTAGCTTACCGGTTGGTTGTTCAGTCTTATGCTAGAAATGAACGCAGACAATCGACTTCGTTTAACCTGCCGCACGACGACAACGTGCCGAGAGTAAAAGAGGAGACACATAAAGAAAGAGAGAGCGTCAAAAATAGTAGAAGATGGAAGACGAAGTCTCGCGCGTCTGTTGTGTCGGAACGCGACTTGTATAATAATAAGAATCGTTGGGGTCGAGTAAACACTGTATTCCTATATCGAAAAAACATTTAAAAGCTGCTTTGAAAACGATTACTTTGAAGATGTCATTGGTATCGTTAGTTTCAAGAGCGAAAAAATCAGAGAAAAATAAATAAATAAACGAAGAGAGGGAGAATATAAATATTGTTTTCAGTATAATAAGAAATGTTAGCTATTAACTAGACCGAGTAGTGCCGACACGTGCCACTTGCCTCCGGTGGGGCTGACGTATTTTTAACGAACCAAAGGATTCCTGGCTATGGGGTCGACGATGGCCGAGAATAGCAGATTTCGTTTCTGCTTATGTAGCCGCTCAAGAGAAACGAGAATGGAGTGAAAAAACGAAAGTGTGATAGAAAGAGAGAGAGAGAGAGAGTGGGAGAGGCGCGTATTATAATCGGCCGAGCCCTGTACGCCAGATGGTACCAGCTGGATGACGCACCGAAGTTGAAAACATCCCGTCTCCGGCGCGATTCCGCCCACGGAATCACTCGCGAAGGAAACGATCGCGTAAGCTTCGTCGTCCTCTTCTTTGCAATCACGTGTCTTCTAGCCAACTGCGTTTAACGGATGTAAATATCTATCTATCTATTTATGCATGTATATACATTAAAACGTTTTCATCTCTTAAGCGTTTCGATATTTAGCAAAGATTAGTCAATGTGATATTTACGTGAAATTCGATTTGCAAAATGAAAGGTATACTATTGTTTTGAGGAATGAAATTGACGTTTAACAACAAGTAGTTTTTGTTTGTATGTAAGACTTGTAAAAGCCCGTGTGTCGTTAAATACGAGTCTTACGAGCAATTAGCTCTAGAACATGTTACATAAGGGATGGCCAGCATGAAATGTCAGACTTTCTGCCATATATTTCGCCATGTATGGCTCGGTAGAAGATCTAGGCATGGAAGAAATCGAAGAAGCGTCGGTGTGTTGTTGTCAACGTCGCCGTCGTCGTTGTCGACGACATTCGTGGAAAACGTCGAGAGGATGGTTGGTGTTGTTGCTGTGGTGTGACGGTGACGGCGGTAACAGTGACGGTGGCGAAGGCGGCGCGTATCGAGACGTCTGAGCAAGCGCCTACGAGATCCTCGTGACTCGCTTTGCGCTTAATTTACAACCTACCGGGAACGCTTCGAGTGCGATTTATCGTTCGTTTCTTGGACGACCTTAACGTTCGCCAAGTTTCAACCCAACTTTTTCTCACAATCTTTCTTACTTATATTCCATTATGGTAATTCGATAACATTGTAACGTTTCTAACTCATTTGCAGCAACATCCTGCAAAGTTCAAACTGACAATTCGAAAATCGTTCTATCTTTTAAGATTCCACTCTCGGCACGTTGCTCTTTCAATTTTTCATTATCCTTAGGTGAGCTCCGCGTACAGTATAATAATACTCGATCATCCATCTATTTCTGCCTATCCCTCTTTTCATTTCTCTCATTCTCTCCACGGTTTATTACCTATTAAACGCGTAATTACTGACTCGATGACTAACGATCAACTTATTTTTTCGGTTATAGCTGGTGTAATGGCGGAATCGGAGAGAGACGGATCCTGCAGCTGTGGGGACGAGGACGACATGTCTGGTCTACACTCGTTAAGTGCATCCGAAGACAGTGTGGAGGTACAAGTGATACCAATTTCTTTGAGAAACAAGAGGAAACTCGCCGAGCCGAGAAAGATTCAGGAACCGAGTACGGCACCGTTAAAGAAGCGAAGGTTCGAACAGATCGAGGAAACGATTGTTGCGGACGAGGAATCAAGACCTGCTAGATCACCGAGCCCTTTCAGGCCCTGGAGTAGCTCAACTAGCAAAAGCAATGACACAAAGAAAGCAACATCTCCAAGTACTAGTACTTTGAACAGCAATACTCTTCCTACGATTTTATCTTCCACGTCGACGAGTATTAGTACTCAAGATATAGAAAGGGAGCTGGAGGAAGATACCAAAAGAAGAAAAGAAATTACAAGAATCGAAGAAGAAGAGTTGCTTAGGAGATTACGAGATGTGTCTAACCGCAGCCCGAATTCTACGATTCAGATATGCGGTAACTTGGTTTCGAGAAGAGAAACGCGTCAGAGGTTCGAACAATCGACACCTAGGAGTTCTTCTCCAATTCCTCCCACATCTGGAATCGTTATTCCTCCTCATCTGAAACTCCAGGAGGAACCACTAGCGCTCGTCTTAAGAGGAGAAATTCCAAGAGTGCCATCGCATCCAGCTGTCAGCGGAACTTACGAAAGAGCACCATCTTCTTATCCGTTAGATCATCAAGAGTCGCATCATTCTCATCATCATCGTCATCATCATCATCACCATCACCATCCTCATCAGAATCATCCTATTCCTCCGCATCGGCAACAAAGTCATCAAGCATCGACTACGCAACTGACCAATCACTCAAGGCATCTCCAAGGTACCGCCTCTGGAGGAGGAACTGGTCAACAACGAAATTACAAAAATATGACACGTGAAAGAAGAATCGAAGCCAATGCCAGAGAAAGAACGCGAGTTCATACGATAAGCGCTGCTTTCGAAACCCTAAGACGAACCATACCCGCTTACTCGCATAATCAAAAACTGTCTAAGCTCTCTGTCCTTAGGATTGCATGCAGTTATATTGCGACTTTAACTAAAATCATGAATATTCCTGATGGTCAACCGATAATCGGTCAATCTTTAGGTGAATGCGTTAATCACGTCTCTGAGACGATTCAAACCGAAGGAAAATTAAGAAAAAGAAAAGGAGATTAAGCGATGAAATTTTTCTGAAAATAACAGATTTGAAACAAGTTTTTAATTAAGCTTAATATTGAAAGATCTGTGACGAACGATCGAATAATTTGAAGACGATATACACTTCCTTAAAATACGCAACGAGACAATACAAAACAAAAATACCAATTGTTAGAGCTCAATATTTAAACACTTGAACTTCTCTTGGCTTTCCTTTTAAAAAATCTCGCAATTTTGAAAAACTTCATTCGTACTTAGCTTCTTATTCAACGAGCTTGGAATAAATACTACCGTATAACTAAAAAAAAACGAATATGTTACATGTGTAATGATGAAGATTAAAATCTGATTCAAAATATAGATGTACAATGTTAAGATTTGTAAATAAAATAACTGATCGAAGAGTTTTTTGTATGTACAATTAATCTCGCACCTAAGATGTAAAAAATGATGATGATAATAATAATGATGATAACGATGATGATAATGATAATGATAAATAATATCGAACACATAAATTTAAACACACATACATCGATGCGAGCTTTAATTAAAATTAAGTTAATCGCTAAAACGCGTTAATGTAAATATATTACTCCAAGTTGCCATAAATAGGCTCCGTCGTACACATTAAGCTACAAATAACAATATTATTGACGATATAGAATTATTATTAAAAAAAATATGATGAAACTTGTGAGCACGTGTTTCCGTGACGTGCAACAGCGTTTCGCGCTGAATGTCCTGTATGTACCTTTTTACGTTATAAGACAACCTCGCGTTTGAAAACAAAGTTCAAATAAATTACAATTGTGAAGAAAGAAAAAAAATGAAAGAAATTAATGAATATACGAGTTTCGTTGTTCGATTGAACCTTTCCTTTAAATTATGTCCATTAATTATAAGGTAATATTTTCTAGAAAACTTCAAGATATTCAGGTAGTATAGTTACTGTTGGTATAATAATAACAATAACAATAAGAAGAAGAAGAATAATAGTAATAATAATAATAATAATAATAATAATAATAATAATAATAATAATAATTAACCAAGTCGATACTACCTGATTCCTAAAACGAGTATCGTAAATGAAAGAAGAATATCATTAAATGTCTTTATATAGTATATGTATATTAGGGTGGGTCAAAAAAATCAATTATTTTTTTTTTACAAGTGCCACAGAGAAATGGGTTGCTAGATACCTTTAAAAAATTCTCACCAAATGTGAGCTCTTAATTTTAATAGGAAAATCCTCCGCATCGCAGTTTTTTATTTTTTTCTCAGTCCAATAGAATAATATACATATATATATTTATATAATTCATACCCCATCATTAATTGATTATACAGAAAAATGTTCTGGAAGAATTTTGTAGGAAATTTAATGCTCTACAAAAAAGGTATCTTATATTTTTTCCGTAAACCTCACCATTTGAATGATATTGAAGATTTAAGTTTGATTATTTTAAGACAAATTCATTTTTATTTAAGAATTTTATAACTTGACAATAAATGACTATTAAAAATGCGCAATACAAATTTTTGTGGTAAAGTAACTGCTCTAGAAAAATGGTGTCTTATGTTTTAGCGATTAAATTAAGCGTTTAAAAGATATTCATCATCAAACTTTCATGTGTACTGATTTCTGTCTCTGAATATCTTTTGAACGCTTAATTTAATCGCAATATATATACATTTCCGACAAGAGTCAACGATTCTATCCTTGCAACACTTTCTTTCTCATGTTTTCTTCGAAAACCGTCGTAAATATTTGCAAAGTGGATCGACGGGATAGACCAGAGGAATGGCCAAGTGGACCCAAGTGATCTCAGCGATGCTTCTGCGATTACGTTTAAGAACAACATTATCGCGCGCGAATAAAAAGCACGATCATGAAAAGGAAAACGGCAAAGTTAATTAGCAAGTGGCATCAACGATTTGTCTTTCTCGGGCGAGTTCGAACCAGTTGCAGCTGGTAATTCTAAGTTTACCTGCCCATTTAGCACGGTCGTAAGTGTTATCGGTTCGCTGGTCTAACTAATATAAGACGTACTCGTAAAAATGTTTGAAAAGAAGAGAAAAGAAAAAAGATAAGAAGATAAATAAAGAGAGGGAGAAAGAAGACTTCCACGAGGAAGGTGAAGAAGATGACGATGTACTCAGGTGTGTCCCCTGCCGTCACCTTTAGACACCGGAAAGTGTTCTTTATTCGCGAGACACATCTGGTCTGAAGATAACGACGCAACAAACGATTCGCAATAATTTCACAGAGCCGAAGTGAACCAGTAGGAGACCAAAATATTTTCTTCTTTTTTTAGTTTTGACACGTGCTATCGTTGGCTCGATATTTTTTGTTTATTAAACAAGAGGTAAACAAAAACTTGTGAATATTTTTCATATAAAACTTCGTAAATAATTTCTACGTTTTACCTATGACGCTTATTTCCTTCTAATGGTTTCTAATTTTGTTTTAACATTACAACCGGTAATATGGTTCAGTGTTATCTTTAAATCTTTAACTTTCCAGTAGCCATTTATATACTTTTTCAGCTACAACTTGTAGGCACCTGTTACAATAATTATACATATTTTTGAAATTTCAAATATCAGATAATTATCACACTCTCATTTAAATAATATAACCTTTTAGTATTAAAATACATACTTTCCAAAATTGTATACGCTTCTTAGAAACGCGAAAGTGTTTGAAGGAAAGCAAGGAAATTAGAATGCAAAAAGCGCTATCATGATGTCAAGAATATTCGAAAGAGCAATTCGAAGAAAGGTGAAAGGCAAATAAATACTTGTATTCGATAACTAACACATAAGTAAAAGGATTCGGTTAGGTTAGGCGTTAACACGAGTTACCGATATTTATTGCATTACACCCTTCATTGGGCCGTGTAATCGTCGCCACTTATCGTTAATACCCCGTTAATGATCGTCCAAGAGTGGTTGGTCTAATTAGAACGTTACACGCGAGAATGTAACAACGACGACCAACAGCGACAACAACGACAACGACGCAACGACTACGACGACGACAAACACGTTGAGAGTAAAGTCTCTTACGAAATCGATTTGCAAAGCAATGCATGACTCGAGCGCAAAGTTCGTAAACGTGCCGACAAACGTGCCGACCAAAGGATAGAAAAGAGAGAAAGAGAGAGAAAGAAAAAATCTATCGTCTCGTCTCTCTCATTACTAATCGACAAACGCTCTCTTACGTTCGATCACGATTGATAGCGACAACTCGGCGCGACTTTCCATTCGCCAGAAATTTCTTACCAGAAATTAACGAAGTTGCTAGAGTTCGAATTATTCGTGCGAGCTTTCTATCCTACAAAAAAATAAAAATCCAGTTTAAATTTGACGTCAAAAAATAATAATAATATATATATATAACGTAATGAACGAACAGAACTTCGGAATTCTCACTAATTATATATTTCGGTATTTTGAAAGAAGTAGAAAAAGAAAGAAAGAAAGAAATGTGATTTTTGAATCTCCAATAAAGTGTACACATAAAAAAGTTTTTTTTTATTCTATGCCATTGATTAAACTGTCATATGAAGATAATTTAACTCTAACCGCGCTATTGTGGAATCATTCGATGGTTACAGGATTCGATCAAATAACAGCATATTTGAAAACTACCTGGGAATATAATATAAGAACCTGTGGTTGAATGTTAGAAGTTATATTATGAAACGGCTACTCGTTCGTGCTTTTCCAAGCAAGGCGTTGATTAGCAGCGGAATCAAAAAGAAAGAAAGAAATAAAGAGAGGAAGAGAGTGAACAAGGCGTTGCCAGGTTCGGCAGCTGTTTAGCATAAAGGTAAATTGCCTAAGAAAATAATGATTCTCTTTTGCCTTCCTTCTTATCCCGAGGATCCTCGATCTTTGCGGCAGGTGGCAATGACGTTCGAACGACGACGATGGCTACCTGCTCGAAAACCGGGCCTCCTTTTCTCTCCTCTCTTCACCTTTCCTCTCCTATATACCTTCTTCAAAGCCCCCTTACGATTTTACCTGCCTGTCCTGGCTCGGTATCAGGCAAAAAGCCAAAATGCCGTACATACTTATATAGTAGTAGGTATCCCAGCTTTGTAATCACTTCTGCACGTGTAATATACTCTCTCGTTCTTTCTCCTTCTATTTCAGTTTCTTTTCTTCCTTCTTTCTCTCATTTCTGTTCATCCTCCCCTTCCATCTTGAAACTCTCAGAAAGAACATTGGAACGCCGCACACGATGGTATATAAGTAAGTAGAAGTGGTTTGAGGAGACCTATAAGTATACCGTATGCTTCTAAACGCTTATGCATTAAACCAACATCCCTCTCCTCGTCCACGAATTTTTAATCGCAGACTCTTGCAGGTGTGGATAATAGAGGAATGGGAAAAAAGAATGAACGCGATGAAAATCGATGGCTAAATTAGAAGTTTATGTGTAGTACTTATGAATGTGATTATTACGTGTACATCGATGACAAATAATTTAGTAAGATTTTATAAGAGAAACAAGAGAAAGGAATCTTTGTTGGGATGTAGTTATGTACGTAACGTTATGGAATAATTTGGAGTAGTACTTTAAAATATTAGTTAGTTAATTTAACTATGTTTTTAGAAACTCTTATAAATTACCTACAATTAGTATGGGTTATGAACTTTGGCTATTCTTATAAATTATTAGAAGTAGGACATTGGTCATCATTTAGAATCCCATACAGTTCCAACCTCTAAGAGAACAGATGTATACATATTACGTAATTGAAATTAACAGAAGAAAGTGAACATAATTAGTTGAATTTGTTTAATTTATATAAAACACTTATTTGACCAAGTAAATAAGTAAGTCAGTAAGTAAAACGACGAACGTCGATTAAATTGACTGAAAGAAAATGATCGGATAAAAAATGAATGACATTTGCTGGTACAGGTGCTCGATGTCGGAAATGTAACGCGAAAGAAGGAAAAACATGGTCTGGCTGTAACAACTGGTAAGATATCTAAATTTTAAATCGACCAGATCGAGCGTATTGCAAAGAACAACGATGATCGAGGAAAGAGAAATTTCAAGGTTGAATCACTTGTTCGATTAAATTTAGCGAGTTCCGTTAAGGAAGCTCAAAGTGACTCGTGGATCATACGAAGAAACGGCTTAATGAACATCTGCCCTTGGACTTGGCCCTTGCAGATTGTCATCGTCGTCCTTGTCATTGTACAAACTTTCTCTCTTTTTTTCTTCTTTCTTTCTTTCTTTCTTTTTACCGACTCGGTAACTTCCGCTGAAAGCGCGATCATGCGCACGTAGAGAACTCTCTCGTGGGTATTTACGTGCGTCAATTAGACAGATGTAGCCGAGTAGGATGACAAACGTGCGAGCAGATGCTCGCGAAGCGATAACCCGACACGGCCTTCTTCTTCTTCTTCTTCTTCTTCTTCTTCTTCTTCTTCTTCTTTTCTTTTCTTTTCTTTTCTTTTCTTTTCTTTTCTTTTCTTTTCTTTT